AAAAAGTTCCGAGCTGGGTGGTAGTGATGCAAGCCTTTAATCTCAGCACTCGGAAGGCAGAGGAAGGTGGGTCTCTAACCTTGAAGCCAGCCTGGTCTATAAAGTGGGTTCCAGGACAGCCAGGCTGCACACAGGAAAAAAAAAACCACAATTGTGTCTCCACAACAACAACACAAGTTGCAGATCCCCTTTGTGAAGTATAACAAAGTCACTAAGTGACTCAGAGCTGAGGAACTAACTCAGTGGGTGGAGTGCATCCTGACAAGCCCAAGGCCCTACATTCACACTCCAGGCGTGGGGCGTGAAAAGGACCACCTGGCAAACACTGCTGACTCCCAAGCCGATTTGATTAGCATGGCTCTCTCCCTCTTAAGCTCCCAACTATAGATCTACAGTAAACTACTCGTAAAATAAAACACACACACACACAAAATCACCTTCACATTCATGTTACAAGAAAAGGAAATGTCAGGCATGGAGCCGCTTAAACAAACGTCAGAGTGCAGCTAGCTGAGAAATTCTGCCTTTAACATATCTTACTCAACAACGGATCAAAAGGATGTATCATAAATAATAATAACAGTCTATTCTTAGTGACAGCTCAAATAGAAAGGTACAGCACACAAAGAAAGCTTGAATTTGAAGGGTGAAAAGGCTACCCATAAAAGAACTGTTTACAGTAAATATAGTCATATAGTCTGTACATACACAATCATGTATAATTTTGACTCACATGCCCCCTTTAGCATGGCATTCAATTTAGCAACAGTATACTTCTCAACTTTAGAGTCACAAGAAAGCCTTTAAGGAAACAGTATAAAAGATCCATAGTTTTACGTCATTTCTACTCGGTTCTGGTGGAGGACATAAGACTGAAGTCTTTCTTCCATCAAGAGGCCAGGGCAGTGACACGTGGCCACCACAGCACACTTAGCATCTGTTCACTCCCAGGAGAGACAATGCAGCTCCCGCCTGCAGACACACTGTAACTGACCAGCATGGCTGTTGTGCTTGTGAGGCTAAAGACATCCACAGATGTGACACTTTCATTATAAGAGCAACACGTTCTGATTGAGGTTTTATGATACTTGTACAACAGAGAAAGACAATGCAAAGAAAATTTTTAATTAATTTGCAATGATGTATTACTATCATAATAAACGTACTTCTGCAGAAAGAAAAAAATATAAAGCCGTGAGAAGATGTGAGCAAACTTTAGCTCAGGGGAATGTTAATGTCTCCAAAATGTAATTGTCAATTTCTTAATTTACCTTTTAAAAAAGTATAACATGATGTAGTAGTTACCCATCAACTTATTCTGATGATAATATATTCAAAATAGTTGCAAATCGCCAAGAAACCAGACAATAACCTATGTAACAGGTGACTCTGCATTCTTTCCAGCCCAAGTTCTCACTAAGTGGTAATAAATGTGTCCAACAGTATTCACAGAACTCCACCCAGGTATAAAAGGAGACAAAAATCATACTTTTCTCAGAGGAAGCCATGGCTTAGGAAAAGTGACAGAAAATAATAGCAATCTTTCTTTTGGATTCCTTGGTTTTTGAGACAGGGTTTCACTATGTAGCCCAGGCTTGCCCAGAACTCCACTGTCCATTGCCTTGCCTCCAGAGTACAGCAATTAACCAGAATGTGACACCGTGCCAGGTCATGATGCAAATCTCATTTTTTAAAAAAATGATTTATCTATTTTTATTTCATGTGCATGGGTGTTTAATGTCTGCAAGTTTATCAGTGTTGAGAGTGTTGGATCCCTTGGAACTTGAGTTACAGACAGCTATGAGCTACCATATGGATGTTGAGAATTGAACCTGGGCACTGTGGAAGGGCAGCCAGTGTCCTTAAGACCTGAGCTATCTTCCCAGCCACCATGACACAGATCTTAACAGAAGGTAGTCTGGTTCAAAATCAAAGTACACATAAAAGCAGTGGACCAGAAGGAAGGGAATGGGAGGGTCCAAAAGCTGAAGCCAACTGAGAAAGAACGTCAGAGAAGGGTATGTATGATTACAGCACATACAGTTTTGTAGAACAGAGAAATCAACTTATTCTTTGTTTTGCTGAGATAATTTTTAAGAAAACATCAGAATCCTAACTCTCTCCACTAAAACTAGCCATTAATACAATTTAATTAATATAGTTCAAACAAAGCAGGCTTTTCAGTGGACTTGCATGGCTTCTATAAGGTCCTGAGATCAGTGAAGGAGGCAGGAGAACTTACCTAGCCTAAGAAGCACTTTGCTTATACTTGACTGCTGTATTTCATATTACCACACAGATTAAGAAGTATATTTGCTTTGAGATAAGGTTTTACCTTATTACCTAATTATAACTAACAGAGTGGCCCATAGCATATGTAAGACAATAATTCTGAAGCTGAAGGCACAGAATTATTATTACAGTTGTTCAAGGCACTTAGCAATGCCTGCTGTGAGAAAGGCAGAAAATCCAGTGTTAGTCTATTTTTCTCTTTCTTTAACATGAAACAAGCCTCAAGTTCAAGGCCAGCCTGGGCCAGCCTGGGCTATATAGCAAGACCTACTTTGAAAAACCCAGGCAGAAAGAGAATGACATCCAAGACGGTTGTGGGTTTGACGTGGGGGAGGCGTCTGAGATGTGATAGTGCAAATACCTGCTGGCATCCCTCCTCCTCCTCTTCCTCTTCTTCTTCCTCTTCTTCCTCCTCCTCCTCCTCTTCATCTCACACCTTATCTAAACCCAGTTACTCCCCCAAAAGATTCCATTTCCAAATATCATTAACACGTGACTTTAGGAATTAGGTTTCTAACTTTTAGGGAATACATCAGAAATATAACAATGTAGAGTATGTATCATATTATCTAATGTCTTTAACATTTTATGCCCTCATTGATAAATTACATACTATCTACAGGTAATCCCCCAAAAGTTAAATTTCACCAATATCATACTAAAGCCAATAAACAATCAATAAGTTAAAGTACAGGCCTGGAATAAGCACTGTCTCAGGAGCCTGCTTTAGGAGCTATTCTTTCTGAAGAATCCTTCTTGATTCTCCAAATCAGGCTGAAGTTCTACTCTCCCAGCCATGTGGACCTAACTCACATGAGGCAATGAAGGTCTACTCTCAGAAGTCAAAACCACAACAGTCACTTTAGGTTTTGCACATGTGAAATGGAAGTGTGCAAATTACAATGACCATGTGCTGACTTTCAGGAGGAGAAGCAAACACTCCTCAGTCTGCTGACAGAAATGAAACTATTCTAAACGCCAGAACACCCGGAGGAGAGGAGAATAGGGTAAGGAGCCCACATTCCAGACTGCTGTTCGTCTTCCAGGATTTAGATTCCTTGGTTTTATCTCCTTGGCCTCAATAAACAAGACAACATTTCTACCCTTCTTTTTGTTCTTTCTTTTTTTCCATCCCTCCTTCCCTCTTTCCTTCCCTCCCTCCTTCCCTCTCTCCTTCCCTTCCTTCCTGAGACAGGATCTCACTATGTGGACTAGGCCAGCTTCCAACGCCGGAGATCTGCCTGACTTTGTCTCCCTTGTTCCAGGATTAAAAGCATCCAACACCACTCCTGGCTCTTTTTTCTTGATGGGATCTCACTATAAACTCCTGGCTCCTTCCTCAGCCTCTTGAGTATCTGGGACTATAAATTTGCAACGCAGTAACTTTTGATTCTACTTGAATTATTTTGTTTGATTTATTTTAAAAGCTAAGAGACATTAAGAAAAAACAGGGCTTCACACTTTTATACAAAAGTATAAAAGAAATAAACTTACTGAAGAAAGGGAAAAATGTAGACAAAAATTACTTCTCACTATACCTTAATATTAGAGAAATGATTCTAAATTCACACCCTGCCTTAAAGAGAACATGTGACAAACGTTAAGAATCTGACCTTTGTCTCCTCTGTCCTCACTGCATCCAACAAATGGTGCAGAAGCTCCTGACTGTCCTGTTGTTGGAAACCTTTAAATCGAGGAGCCCTAGGATTTTAAAACAAAGAAAAATCATTCCACGGATCATGAGCAACACATCAGTCTTACTTAAGATCATTTTAAAATAAACTAACAGTCCATTTGCTACTTTTTAATTAAACAGACAAAATGCTATTCCTCTTCCGGTGAAAATGAGCCCATCACACTGCAAACAAAAGGCTACTTTTTATTAAGCAAACCATACACAGTACTGACAATTTTATGCACTTTTAACTCCTTTAACCCCAATCTCACTGAATGAGGGACCAAAAAAGTTAATATGCAAAGTCATACTGCCAGCAAAATAGCACTCAGATACAAGCTTCTGTGATTTATCTTTTTCCCTCAATGAACAAAAAGATTAAGCTACATTTTGTATCTTTTTTTAAGATTTATTTATTCATTTTACATGAGTACACTGTAACTATCTTCAGACATATCAGAAGAGGGCACTAGATCCCATTACGGACGGTTGTGAGCAACCATGTGGTTTCTGGGAATTGAACTCAGGACCTCTGGAAGAGCAGCCAGAACTCTTAACCACTGAGCCATCTCTCTAGCCCTACATTCTGTATCTTTTTTTTTTGTTGTTGTTTTTGTTCTTTGTTTTTTCAAGACAAGGTTTCTCTGTATAGCCCTGGCTGTCCTGGAACTCACTCTGTAGACCAGGCTGGCCTCGAACTCAGAAATCCACCTGCCTCTGCCTCCCAAGTGCTGGGATTAAAGGCGTGCGCCACCACCACCCGGCTACATTCTGTATCTTATTCTATTCATTTGGCTTCTGTTTTAGGAGAAATATATTCACATTTACAGAATGAATCTTAATATAACTGTATATTGCTAACTATGTAATATACTCCTCCTAAAGATTTAACAATTAGATTTCCTGACTGAGACATTTAAGTGCTATGCATAGAGATACTAAGAGCCAGTATTTAGTAGAATTTGATAATTTTTTGTCTGGAGAACGGTCCTGGGCGTATCACAATATTCAATTTCAATGTAGTCTAAGAGCCATAGTAACCAAGCCAGAATGGCAGTGGCACAGAAACAGGTATGTGCACCAATAGAGTAAACAGACAATACAACACAAACACACACTTCAAGAAAGGTGTAAAGTCACTCACTGATTATTGGATATTAGCCTAGAACCTTGAAATGCCCAAGATGCAACTCACAGGCCACATGAAGCCCATAAAGAAGGAAGACCAAGTGAGGGTGATTCGGTCCTTCTTAGAAGGAGCAACAAAATACTCAAGGGAGCAAATATGGAGACAAAGTGAGGGACAGAAACTGAAGGAGGGGCCGTCTCAAGACCACCCCACCTGAGTATCTATCCCATGTGCAATCACCAAAGGTAGATGCTGATGTGGAAGACAGGAAGTGCATGCTGATAAGAGCCTGATATGGATATCTCCTCAGAGGCCTTCAAGAGTCAGACATATTCAGAGGCAGATGCTCACAACTAGCCATTGAACTGATCATGGGGTTCTCAATAGAGGAGTTAGAGTGAAGACTGAAGGAGCTGAAAGGGTTTGTGGCACCATGAGGAGAGCAACAATACCAACCAACCACAGCTCCCAGGGTCTAAACCACCAGCCTGGGAGCACTTAGGGGGGGATCCAGGGCTTCAGCTGAATATGTAAAAGTGGAGGGCCCTGCTGGGCATAGGTGGAAGAAGAGAACTTGACCTCATGAAGGCTGGATGCCCCAGGGGGTGGGAATTTTGAGGGTGGGGAGGTGGGAGTGGGGGGGTGTAGATAGAGGTTACATCCACAGAGAAGAAGGAGGAGGGGCGAGGGGATTGGGGGTTCCGAGGGGGTGGTGGGGGATGGGGTAAGGGGACAACATAGGAAATGTAAATAAATCATCCAATAAAAAAAAAAAAGAAAAAAAAAAAAGAAAGGTGTAAAGGCAGATGGTGAAGGAAAGACAGCCACTTCAGTAAATGATGCTAAGAAAACTTTGTATCCACACAGAGAAGAATAAAACTAGATGCCATTCTTTATTAAAAAAAAAAAAAATCAACACAAAATGAGTAAGACCTTAATGTAATACCTGAAATGTTGAACTTACTAAAAGAAAACAGGGGAAATGCTTCAAGATATAGTCATAGACAAAGACTTTCTGACAGCTTCTAATCGCTTATAAAATAATAGTAAAAACTAACAAGTGAGATTGCATAAAATTAAACTTTCCACCAACAATAACCAGTATGAAGAGATTGCCTTTGGATTGAGAAAGAACCCATAAATGACGAGATTAATATCTAGAACATCTATAAAAAGAGCTAAGAAAGAAAGAGAAGGAAATGAAAAGAAAGACGACCTACAACCACACCATACACACACACACACACACACACACACAGCCATAAGAAACAACCCAGCAACAAATGGGAAGTGGACACTGACTCAGATGGCCACAAAATATAGGGGGAAAGGTTCCATACCCTCAGTCACAGGGAAATTTAAATCAAAACTAGACACAGAGGATGCACCCCAGTCACATGCCTAACATCACGAGGCCAACAAATGTTAGCAAAGATGTAGGAGCAAAACCAACCTTTTTACTGTTTCTGAGAAATGCAGTGCATGGGCACTATGAAAAGCCTCACTGTGTAGCTCTGGCTGTCCTGGAACTCATTCTGTAGATCAGGCTGGCCTCAAACTCCAGAGATTCCTGCCTCTGTCTCCCTAGTACTGGGATCAAAGTACAGACTGCCAATCCTGACTTGTTACACAATACTTTATAGCTTGGCTATTGTCAAATATAGCCTGATACAATTCCTGCAGATCCACACGATCTGAGGCTGTTACTCAGCATTGTTTAAATACTTATCTCTTTTTCTGAAACACTGAGAGGATCATGTGTGAGGTAGCTGTGTGTAACACTAAAACCGTTCTAGACCTTACAAACTAGTTCAGTTCAGTTCTAATGTGTGAAGGAAGACAGTCCTTTAAATAGGAACTTGTAATTTATTGTATCTACAGATGTTAAAAATGTGTTTATACTTAAACTGGCCCCAAATCGAGAGGGTTTGGCATGCTTCATTTATTCAGCATATAATGTTTCTTTAATTCTTGAAGGCCAGAAAAGTCTGTGAGAAGCTCAGAGATCGAGCTACCCCATAAAGTAAATAGTTTTAGGGCATTGTATGCTTTAGAAATTTGTTTTAACTCTGACCAAAATAGCTTTATTTGTTTTTATGTTTCCTTCTTTTATTAAGATTTATAAAAATTGCTGGGCAGTGGTGGCGCACACCTTTAATCCCAGCACTTGGGAGGCAGAGGCAGGCAGATTTCTGAGTTCGAGGCCAGCCTGGTCTACAGAGTGAGTTCCAGGACAGCCAGGGCTACACAGAGAAGCCCTGTTGTGAAAACAAACAAACAAACAAAAAAGATTTATAAAAATTAAAAATATGTTAAAATAGCTGAGTGCTCCTAAATTAAAATTCTGATTCCTATCTACTCTGTTCTTTAGGAGTCATTACACCAGGTTTAGTACCTCTCATCTGACATGCTTAGGGGCAAAAATGGTTTAGACTCTGGGTTTGTTCAGATTTTGGAACATTTTCATACATTAGGAGTCATCTTGTAGAAAGGGTTCACATGCAAACACAGATCACTTATGTTTTATATATACTTTACAAGCATAGCCTGACACTGATTTTATTAAGATCTTATGTTTATATGTGTATAAGTGCTTGCTTGTATGTATGTATGTATGTATGTATGTATGTATGTATGTATGTGTACCATGTGTGCTTGGTACTCCTGGAGGCCAGAAGGCAGCATCAAATCCCCTAAAACTCCTGTTAGAGATGGTTGTGAGCTTTGGGATGTGGGTGCTGAGAAACAAACTCGCTTCTGCAAGAGCAGCAAGTGCTCTTAACTGCTGAGCATCTATTGGACATTCTCAGAATACTTGCAGGAACTTTTGGACAGCTCTATACAATGTATTTGAAATAAAGCAAATTCATACTCTTGCTGTCTTTTATTTAGACATCTTTGTCTTGATTTGTCAGTTTGCAGGCTTATTTGGTGTGGAGTTTTGCATATTTATTTTTGTCCCGTCTTTCCCACCTCCATGTTTATCGGTCACTCCTACTCTTTCTTCCTCATCCTCCCCCATTCTCTGCTGATTAATTTTAAATATTAAATCATTCTCACATAGCCCTTCTGACAGCCTTGGAGAGCAAATTTCCTAATATGTCATTTATTTTGTGGTCATAATCTGGGCATGTAGTAGCCTGTGAAAGACTCCACTTTAGGTACTCAAGCTGCCTGTTGTGGCCTTTGGAAACATCATACAAGACCTTCCTTCAGGCTTAAGATAATGTCCCCCATCCTTAAACAGTGAGCTTTGTTCTGGTCCTTGTGAAATATGTATGTCTTTTTTTGTTGTATGCATTGGTGTTTTGCCTGCATGTATGTCTATGTGAGGGTGTCAGAAACTCTGGAACTGGAGTTACAGGGAGTTGTGAGCTGCCATATAGATGCTGGGAATTGAACCTGGGTCCACTGGAAGAACATCCAGTGTTCTTAACTGCTGAGCCATCTCTCCAGCCCATGCATGTCTTTTTAGCTTCTCAAAGCTGAACTCTTTCAGGCATGACATGGCTGTGTTTTGCTTTTCCTATTTTATACTTACATGTGTTTTATGGAATTCACTGCAAAGTAAATTCCACTTGGAAGTTTTGTTTCCCCTCTATTATATTGGTTGTTGTTGTTAGTGTGTGTGTGTGTGTGTGTGTGTTTGTGTGTGTGTGTATGTGTGTTGCCTATGACACTGCATGTATGTGGAGGTAAGAGGACAACTTTGTAAAGACAGTTCCTTCCTTCCCCCTATTAAGTGGGTGCTAAGGATCCAATCAGGTTGTTGGAGCTGCATGTTGGGTGGGGAGTGCCTTTACCTCCTGGGCCATATTGTACATTGTAGGCCCTTGTTTCCTCTATATTTTGGTGGTATGTTTGTAGTAGAGGAAGTCTTTAGACTGTAAACTGACTGATGCATCATGATCCAGAAGACATCTTGTTTGTTTTCTTTCTTTTTATTGAGACAGGGTCTATGTGTTATGTAGCCCTGACTGTCCTGGAAACCACTATGTAGACCATGCTGGCCTCGAACTTACAGAGATCCACTTACCTGTGCCTCTTGAATGCTGAGATTAAGGACATAAGCCATAATACCCAACTTGTTTTATTTTTCTTGACAGTCACCTATTTTATCCTTGTGCATAGTTTTCCATTAGTATTTTGAGCAATTTTGTTTTTGAGATTTTATTTTTATGTGTATGGGTGTTTTGCCTGCATGTATGTCTGTGAGCACATGCATGCAGTGCCCAGGAGGCCAGAAGAGGGTGTTGGATCCCCTGGGATTTGAGTTACAAACAGCTGCTAATTACAATCTCAGTACTGGTAACTGAACTAGGTCATCTGGACAAGCAGCTAGTGCTCTTAACTTCTAAGCAACCTCCCTATCACTTGTATCTTAAGAACTGTAAAAGCCCTCACCTCTTTCTTTTTAAAAAGTATGTGCATGCGCTTGTGTATTTATGTGCACTACCTGTGTGCTAGTGCCTTCTGAGGTCAGAAGAACAGCACACTGGATCATTAGAATTGGAGACAACAATGACTGCCATAGATATAAGTATTGAAAACTTAAATCTGTTCTTCTATAAGAACAGTGACTGTTTTTAACCACTGAACCATCTTTCCATCACTTTTTGCCTCTTCCTGACAGCATCAATTTTGTTAAGTGATATGGTTTAAATTGGAAATGTCCTTCAAGGCTCATGTGCTTAAACACTTGTTCACAAGCTGCTGGTGCTGTTTTGGGGAGGTTATGGAACTTTGGGATATATGGTTGAGTTGGTGGGTGTTAGGCCAAGAGGACTGTAGGCTGGCCATATGTCCGTCTGGGTCTAGTCTCCTCTCTGCTTCCTGATCTACCAAGATTAAATAAGTTGCCTGACAGGCTCCTACTGCCATGGACCAACCTGGTCTAGTTGGCATTCCATCTCTACCATGATGGATGGCACCCTCTGGAGCCCTGAACTCAAATGAACCTCTCTCTTCCTTCAGTTGTATCTGTCAGATGTATTGTCATAATGGTGGGGAAAATAATTAATATACTAAGACACAGTTCCTATGAACGTTCATCTTATCAAATACTCTGAATGTCTTCATACATTTGGTATCTGTTAACGTTTTTAAAAGTAAGTTTGGGCCGGGCAGTGGTGGCTCACGCCTTTAATCCCAGCACTTGGGAGGCAGAGGCAGGCGGATTTCTGAGTTCGAGGCCAGCCTGGTCTACAGAGTGAGTTCCAGGACAGCCAGGGCTATAAAGAGAAACCCTGTCTCAAAAAACTAAATAAATAAATAAATAAATAAATAAACAAATAAATAAATAAAATAAAAGTAAATTTGAAGGTCTCTTGATATTGGTACCTCATATAAGCTCCTTCAAAAATCCTGTAAGTTACTGGATTATGTTTTCAACTTCTCAGTAAAGGAATGAAAAAAGAATCATAGGTTAAATTTTTTTCCAGCGATTACGTAGAAGGCAATAAATGGTTTGTACATGGTTAGGATAGAGCTGTAGGAAGGCAGTTTTTTTGGTTCAGAAATGATCCCTACCCTACAGGTCTGCTTAAATACCAGGACTCCTGAGGGATTCTTGTTTCTGTTCCAGTTGATTTCACCGGCACTGCTTGATACCTACAGCACAAATCTATTATGTAATTCTACTTCTTGGGATGTCAGCTGTGGAGCCTCAAGTAATGTGGGATTTGGTTTTAGCCTGACCTAGTCCCAGAAGATGCTATTTGCAGCTACCTAGCAAAAGAGTAACTGAAATGGTGTTTTCTATGTTAATTTTATGCCAATTCACTTAATTTCACTGTAGGTACATTAGTGCACTGCAGGATGGATGCTAATTATGACAAAATGAGGAATACTATTTAAAGTACTAGATTCTAGGTCATAAGAGGGGTCGGACTGGTATTTAATGGTGTTTATCTTATTCCTCTCTAGTCTTCTCAAGTAGAAAAATGTAGTTCATTTTCACAAATTCTTTAACATTTTTTACCAAACAAGATAATTATTGTAAATTTGTCCCATTCTACGTTTAATACTAGTCTGTGTTCTTTTCATGAAATTCATTTTAGATTGGAATGAATTCCAAGGTTAGCTTGCATTTATAAGGTGAAACATTCATCTTAACACTGGAATTTGTTAAGATGCTAAGATTTTTTTTATTAGTGTATATTCATTGTACAAACAGTTGATTCTATTATGATGTTCTCATGCATGTTTCATTCTCCTGTACTCATCCCTTTACTTTTCCTAAATACTCACTTTCATATTGGATTTAGTTTTATTGAGATGTCTACATTTGAGGAAAATGTGACTTTTTCTTTCTGAGTCTGGCTTATTTGACTTAACATTTTAACCTCCTGTTCCATCTATTTCTCTGCAAATATCACATTTTTTTTCTTTATGCCTGCATACAACTGTGTGGTGTAAGCATACATCTTCTTTATCCGTTTGTGCACTGACAACACCTAAACTAATTCTGTACACTGTTGTGACGAGTGCTGTAGCAAACTTGAGTGTGTATAACTTCTGTGTGCTGACGTAAATGCTCAGTTATAGTAGTGCTGGGTCACTGGTCAATCTGCTTTTCGTTTTCTGAGGAACAGAAATACCCAGTCATATCTTGACTCTGCTCTGATAACCTCCCACCTCCAATAACAACATCCCAATGTCAGCAGGAAATAATCATAGATGACTATGTAGCCCCTTATTCATTTATTATCAACAAAAGGCTGAGATGATGGATTTCAGACCAGGACAAAAAAAAGGACTTAGCCTCTAAGGTACATATTTTACATACCAAAGCATACCTGACCTCTAGGTTCTCCCAGCATCCCTCAGTCCCGACCCGGCATACCAGCCCCCAACCTTGAACTTTCTAGTACAGGGGCTGGGTGCCCTTGCCCAGAAGCTCTGTGATATAATCTAAACATTTTGTTCTCTCCCCACTTCTCCTTCTCTCTGTAAACTCTCTCTTTCTCTCCCCCCCCTTCTTCCTCCCTCCCCAGTGCGACTTCCCAGGTCTCTGTCTTTGAAGCTAGTGAACTTGCAGCTTCCCAATAAACCTGTGTTTATATTCCAATCTGGCTTAAATTGGCTCACTTCACCAGCAGAGAAATAACTTATCACATACAAGGCACCAACAAAAGAAACTTATCTCTTAGGCTACTTTCCAGATTTCACAAGTAGGTGATGGTCTCAAGTCATCAAGAATTGCTTAGCCCCAGCCTGACCATTCAGTCCCACCTCCAGAAACATATGTCCAGGTAGCACAAGTAACCCAGAAAACACATAAACAGCTGGTATCCTGGTAAATACATACATATATAAAACTGCATCAAAGACTTGAGTCAGGACAGACTTCGTATGATTCTCAGTGTGTTGTTCACATACTAGGTGAACTACCTAATTTCTGAGCCTGTTTCTTAACATATAAAATGGAGATGGACAATCACTTCTTCAGAGGCTGGTGACAATTCACCCACACAGATGTGGCTAGCAGATATTCCCTCTTTACTTGGCATCCTAGGCAGCAACCAAGCAGGAGTAAAAACCCTTGTGGGAATGTCGCATTAGTACTTGTGACATCATTGTTCATATTAAGAATACAGACACACTCACTTCTGACAGAGCTGATTGAAAAGAACTTTAGGAGAAAGTGGTCCTTTTTCAGCCTCCTTCATGCTGTGAAGAAACAGGAACAAGGCTGAAGTCAATGGTCCAGGGCTTGAAAGTTCCACCACTAACGGCTCCTTTGAAAACATGATCAATGCTGTGTCAGCAATACATAATTTCAAAACAAAACAATGCCAAGAACCTAAGTGCTGTACTTTATTTAAATGACAATAACTAATTGATCTCAAGTCTATTAACTTGAGTTGTTAACAGTGCTAACAACTTGTCAGACTACTTCGTTCTCACTCTATCCCTGGCTCAGAGCCCGAGCCTGTGGTGGCTTTACTGTAAGACTGAGGAACACAGCCTCACTGTGGGTGTTAGTTAGGCCAGCCTCTGAATGCCACTGACTGTTTTTTGTTATTTCCTTTCTTTCTCATTAGCTTAAAATTCCATCATCAGACTAGACTTTAAGAACATTTATATGAAGAGCCTATGAGATGGTTGCTTGACAACCAAAGGCACCTGCCATCAAGCCCAATGACCTGGGAGTTTAATCCCCAGGAGCCACATTGGCAAGAAATGAATGCCACAAGTTGCCTTCTGACCTCAACCTGCATCATGGCATGCATGCATTACACATCATATAAATATATTAATAAAAATATTTTAAGCCTTCAGATGTTAAATATTTCAATCTACATTTAACGAACAACAACAAAAACCTTAATTTGAGTATATATTACCATTTACTACAAAACAAGGGTCCCGAACATTTTGCTCAATAAAAGTTTGACTCTAGTGTTTTCCAGTATGTGAACATAAAAATTGACTAATATTTTTGTATGTTTTCAACCATGATATGTCTGAATTACAACATATCTTAGTTATGATTTCAGAAAAAGTTATTTGATTATTTATTTCTATGAGACACTTTGAATTATGTTTTATAGTCCTCTAACAGTCCCATTTGGCAGTTTAGAGAAACAGAAAATAAGTATTTTAGAAACAAGTAGCACTGGGCTCTTGTACTTGTTACTTACCAGCTGCGGAGCTGACGAAAGAGAAATCTTGAATTTGGTGCCATCTTCTTTTATGTCATTCATCAGTTCAAAAAGAATGTAAGTCTGAGCCAAGTTCTAAACAACAGAAAAGGTCAAGCCTCCTCATTCAGTTACAGTACGTTCCTGATCTAATGAAATGAATACTCTAAAAGTTTCAAATCTCATGTAGCTCAGCAAAACATGTCCATTTAAAATGTAGAGGCTTAGCTGGATGCATTCTATGTCTGTCAGGATGACCAAGGAAGCAATGGAAGGAAGACAAAAGACTTCCAAGTAGCACTGCTGAGTGCACACACCACCACGACCAACAACTGCCCAAAGGAAAACAGAAAGGTCTTGGAAGAGTAACTCTGAACAGTCCCTGGACAACAGTCTACACTACAGGGTTGTGTGTGTGTGTGTGTGTGTGTGTGTGCTCATATTAACTAGTCCACATAACTGTTACAGTTTAAAAATCGTTCTGATGGCTCTTACCTGAATGACGGCATTAAAGAAGCAAGTATTTCCTAGGTTTGTAATTCCTTTGACAGATGGCACAGTGCAGCCTTTCCTTCCCTTCTTTATTTCACCCACGTCACGTTTTTCTTCACAAAGTTTTATGATTCTAGAAAATGCACCTAGGAGTTACAGAAAACATAACCGGCATGAAGTAGAAGGACTAAGTCTTGAGTCACCTGACAATTTAAATATATCATTTAAAACCAAACAAGAAGACCACAAAAGTATCTTTGGTTTTACATTTTACTGCTGTTGAACTGAACTCACTCTAATATAGATATCTGTACCTGACATCACATTACAGAATAATTTCCTGGTGAGTTTTAAAGAGAAGAAGGTAAAAAGACCTTCCTTCTAAACACCATTCCCCAAAACCAAAGGAGCAAGTGCTAAAGACAAGTTGACTCTAAGCCTCCCAGAGCAAAGATAGCAAATGAGCCTATAAAACTGCCATTATGCCAAAGAATAAGGAAGGGCTCAAAAGAGCAAGGACCACTTGTATTCGGTGGAATACTTTGATAATGACAGCACTTGGAAGGACGAAGTAGAACGACCAGAAATTCAAGGTCATCTTCAGCTACAAATACAGTTTGAAGTCAGCCTGGGCTACATGAGATCTTGCTCAGAACAACAACAACAACAACAACAAACCACTGGCATTTGAACATCAAAGTAAATAAAGGTATTAAAACAGATGATTACAGAATGAACGCAAATTGATTCTTTTTGATGAGATTAAGTGGTGAGGGGAAATTCTGTTGTTTTTTTTTTTCTATCTTAAAAACATTTTAATGTATATAGGTATTTTTGACTATATCTATGCATATATACTACTTAGCATATCTAATGCCCACAAAGGCCACAAAGTGGGCATTGGATCCCTTGGGAATAGAGTTATAGATGATTGTGAGTCACCATCTGGGTGCTGGGAATCAAACCCAGGACCTCTGAAACTAAAGCCCAGTGTCCTTAACCACTGAGCCATCTCTTCAGCCCCAAAAGGGAAAACTTTCTCTGTCTCTGTCTCTTTTTTTGAGACACGGTCTCACTATGTAGCTATGTAGTTCTGTCCCAGAACTCATTATGTAGACTAGGCTGTCCTAAATTCCAGAGATCCGCCTGCTGCTGCCTCTGCCTCCCAATTGCTGGGATTAAAGGCGTGTGCCACCACTGCCTGGCCATTATTTTGTATCTGTTTTTGAAACAGGGTTTATGCAGTTCTGGTAGACCTAAAACTTGCCATGTAGATCAGGTTGGTTTTGAACTTGCCTCAGCTCCCTAATGCTGAGTTTAAAGGCATGTAACACCATGCCCAGTTGAAAACTGCTTTATTAGTTTTTCAATGACAACTCCTAACATTTATAAACTGACATGCTGATCTATGTAATTGTAACTCAACTGTAACTATGTAAATGTAACTCAAAACCATCACACAGGGGACCTGTGAATGTCCCTTACTTCAGAGAATAGCATAACATGAAGCCCTATGTTCATTCCCAATACCCCAGAGAACCAGGCTGGTGGCATATGCATATAATCCCAGCATGGGAAGATGGAAGATGGAAAATGAGAAATTCAAGGTCATCCTCAGCAACAAAGTGAGTTTGAGGCCAACCTGGGATACATAAAAACCTGTCTTAAAAAACAAACAAACAAACAAACGAACCATTTACAGTCATCCCAATATACCCACAGTAGACTGTGATTCCAGGCCTTCCAAATCACAGATCCTCAACCCCTCCATGCCCACCTTAGGAATTTATCAGACATAAAAAGGCTGAATTTCTACCAGAGTTACTATCTGATCTTGTGGATGTTCACTGATACTGGATTCTTGTTTCTTTTATTCACATATATAATTTTATATATTAATGGCTTTCATTGGTTTTGACATATTCACCCTCACTATTGCATTCTTGGTCTCCTCCTACGCTTGCTGACCCCTGCTTCCCAGCTACTCCCACTTCTATGTCCGATGGTTGTTTTAGTAGTGATGGTGGTGGTAGTGTTTTGGTGATCTATTTTTTCAAGTGTTTCTTCCAAGATCACAGGTGAGGAACCATGTATAAGAGCAATGGCTCCTTACTGGTGGCTATGCCACTGAAGAAAATGTCTCTATGTCAAGTGTGGTGGTACATGCCTTTAATACCAGCACTGTCTCAGACAACTTAAGTGACTTACTTAAGTTCATAATAGTAATAACCCAATTGTAAACCCATCACTTTACAACCTAAATTTCCATCAATGACTTATGTTCAATGATTATAAAATAATTATAAAACACAGTAGGCTACAATTTGGATGTGTGAAGCTCTGAACAAATGAATCCTCAAAAAACTTTCCTGTGTTTAACATCCTTAGTAAGTGCTGTTCTGATATGTAACATATCTGAGACAAGGGTTCATGTACCCTTACCCAGGTGGAATCCTCTTGCTTCCCACTCCTGCTTCAGGACTACAGACAATTATCAACAGATCCAGTTTTATGCAGTGTTGGGGACTGAACCCAGGACCCTTACATCCTTGTCAAGCACTCAATCAATTGAAACTACCAGTCTTGTTCTTTTAACTTTTTACATAAAAACAATGGTTAGAAGAAATAAACTATAGAGTAAGTACAAAATAATAACAGTACCAAAAAACCCGACAAATTTTAAAAGTCCTAGAAATAAATAATATTTAAATTTTTAAAATTTTTTTAAATGTATACAATTTATGTATCTGTGTACCTCATTAATCCATCACTTTTTAAAACATCTGGGATGACATCCCAAAGTAAACAATGTTCATAAGACCATCTGGACAAAACTGCAGGCAAAAAAAAAAAGCATAAACATATGGAAAAACAGATTTTCCCCTTTCCCTTCAGCAGTAAGGAATGACAAATGTCAGAGCTGGAGATAACCACGCTTCACTGTGCGATGCTTTGCAGCACCACCTGGCTCTCCATGCCTAGCCACCAAATATGGACAGCACTGCCAGAAAGAACATGCCCCTGGGGCAGCAGCAATAAACACAGTTGATTTCACGGTTAAATAGCCACTTCACACAAGTGGCAAGGGTCTGTTTGTGCACTTTTACAAGTCTGTGAGAAAATATCCAAGATCAACAATGGTATTAAGCTGATTAAACAGATTGAGTATTTTAATAAGAAAACATAGTAATATTTTCTAAAGGCTATTTTTCTATTTAAAGAAATAGGGGAAGTTTTAGAATATGGAACAATTTAAACTCAATTGGCTTATGGAATGACCACAGTGTGTCAGGTATCATATGAACCACTATTCATTATTTATATAGAAGACTTATGACTAATGACCACAAAGTATAGAGCTGGTATACAAAACCTTGAATATATGGTACTATTGTGGGAAAACTAAGTATACATTTGTACATTTATTCAGTAGAGAATTGTCTGCTCAAAGCCAAGAGCCAAGATTCTACTTTAAAAAGTGTAGGTGGGGTGTATGAATGAGTCAATTATTTTACACCTAAAGGTACGTGTGTGTGCTACCATGATCAGTTTATGTCCCAATGGGGCTTGAATCCCAGGTTTGAACCCCGAGGCAAATCTATGTAAGCATGCTAGAAAATGAGCGGCAACATAGCCCCTCCACTTTCCAAAACACAGAACCACAGATCCTAAAACTGAACCCCAAGAAGTTTTTGAAGTATGTTATAATAAAAAGAACAAAGCTGCTACAATAAAAATTTTTAAAAAGAACTTAAAAATATCTCTATTATCATTCATTTTTTTACCTCAAGTTTTACCCATAACTTAAAAAAGACAAACAGACAGATAAGACTTGGAGGCTGGAGAGATGGCTCAGCATTAAAGAGTATGTAGTGTTCTTGTAGAGGATCTGAGTTTGGTTCCTAGCACCCAGTCAGTGCTCCAGTTCCAGAGGGTCGGATGTCCTCTTCTGGGCTCCACAGGCAACTCCACTCACAGGTGAACGTGCACGTGCGCGAGTGTGTGTGCATGCGTGTGTGTAAATATCTTGTCACCTAGGTTGGAAATACGGTTTGATCACAGAATGGTTGCTTAGCATGTCTCAATTCACTGCACCACATAACGCAGGCACTCAAAGTAAATAAAGAAAGCATCAGAAAAATTTAGTGAGTAGTTTTTTAATACTGGTAATCTTAGAGTGCCAAAAGAGTCTCAGAGAACAATGTGAAAGGCTAAAACATGTCACAGAACAGATTTATGGATCTAGCAAGAGAGACATGAAAACCTTCATTATGATGAAATTACAAACAGTCAAATGAGGAATGATGGCACTGTTGTCAACTGTATACTCTGTATAATCTTTTCAAAGTGCAGTTTAAAAGAATAATCAGAATTTAACCTGAGCTTTTAATTTGTCTAACGAAATTCCAAAACAACCTACAAAATAAAAGGCTAAGTACATAAAGATGAAGCTTTGCTGTCAAGTAATATTAAATTGGAATTTAATGTCAGAATTTGTGAATTCCCTCAATTAAGCCAGAGGAAAACACTGGTTTTTGGCTGTTGTTGTTTTTATTTCTTTTTTTAAAAAAAATAGATTTATTTTATGTATGTGGTACACTGTCGCTGTCTTCAGACACACCAGAAGAAGGCATCAGACCTCATTATTGACGGTTGTGAGCCACCATGTGGTTGCTGGGAATTGAACTTAGGACCTCTGGAAGAGTAGTCAGTGCTCTTAACCACTGAGCCATCTCTCCAGCCCCAAAACACTGTTTCTTTACACTTTTCTTACAAGAGGGAGCAAAGCTTGTTTTGAGTTTTCCTTATTTATCGTATGAGTTTGAGCAAAGTATATCAGCACACACCTGCAATCCCTGCATTTGGGAAGTAGGGACAGGTTTGATGCATGCCTGGGGTATGAGGAGACCCTCTCTCAAAAACAAACGAAATGAGATAATCACCACCTATAACAACTTCTCATTTTAGAGATAATAATAAGGGCTAAAGATGTGGCTTGGTGGTTAAGGGCACTGTTGCTCTTGCAGAGTTCAGTTCCCAGCACCCACATGATGCTTCACAACCATTTATATCTTCAGTTCCAGGGGATTTAGACGTCGAAGAATCCAACAAATATGCATGCAGATAGAGAAAGGAAGGCCATTCC